TCTTCAATACAAATTACGATCTAATTTTAATACACAGTGACTATCACGTGACAGTTTTTTTTCGTTGTTTTATCAATATTATCATGTGACTAAATGTTGTTTGCTTACGATTGGTGAATGAGATCCATTGGCTTTTGAAAAGGCATCACGGAATCCCTAGTGGTTCACAAAAATAATTGGGCCGTAGAGCAATGAGCTTGCTATAAGCATAAACGTGGCGCGAAACAAAAACAATGAACAAAATTAGTTTTAATCGCACAAATTCTTTATTGTTAGTCTAAACTAAATGCATGAAATAGCCTAAATAAAAAAAAAAAGGTAAAACTATTTCTAACCGCACAGATTTATTGATGTTGGCCTAGAGCTATTACAAATTTCATGACATGACTAAGACGAAGTAGCTGGTAGAATTACACTTGGTATTAGCTTTTTTTATTATTATTATTAAAATGAGTTTGGCGATACTCTACACTTTTTTTTTTGCGTGTTGAAAAAGAGGCATAAAAGCACTCTCAAAATGCAATGTCACATAATTTGAAATATAACGCTGTTATCTTATGCAAATCTTGACATAATGACTGCTTTTCGTACAGTATGACACGCCCTACAATTAGTATTATTCCCTGTCTGTTGAAGGAAAAATTGTCATTACTTAAGCAACCGCCAAAGAACATTCTGCGAGAGTATCTTACCATCCGGCATTGACAGGCATACCTTTAGGCTCGTCGTGATACTAGGAACCCACAAGAATTATGCAGAGCACATGGATTGTACTGAAGACTGTAATAATTAGCTTGGGTGTAGTAATAGCACCTGATACATAGGCAGTTTAAAAGAAAACTTTCTGCAACTTGGCCTGCCCAAAAATAAAAAAGTTAAATGGCAGAGAAAAATGACCAAAAGATCGCGCCTTCAAAGACTACATACATCCTTAATGCAGTCTCAATTACGGCAGGACATGTTCACAACATGAAAAGAAACTTCTCTTTAGAGATCTAAAAAAAAATGTAAAGATAACCCAACTTAGGCAAAGGCAAAAAAGGTGCACACAAAGCGTCCGTGTGCGTTGTCAATATTGACACTTCTATATGAAATATTTAAGAAAATAATGAATAAGTATGTTACTGGTTTCGGACATTTTACATCCTGATGTACGGAGAACTACAGAAACAAACTTTCATCCCTTTGAATGACAAGAGGACATCTACTTCAATATACGAACTATATAATAGCCTTTGCACCTATAATGGTCATGGTGTGATATATGCAACTCCGATCTTCAGTTTACGCGAACAAAAGAGAAATTTTGGGCACGTTGAAGACTATATATGTAGAGATCTAGGGACTTTTAGCGCTATTGCAACGAAATAAAGAAAAAAGGATTCAACTTAAGATTTAGGATTTGGGTCATAAGTCATAGTTTTGAATTGTAAGTATCTATAATTAGCTCACACATTCTTCATTGTCAGGATGTGGTTAAAAGTCTTAGGTCTAAAACTCAAGTATTACATTTAATCAATAATTTTAATAATTAAAATTTCGCACATAGCTGATTAGCCAATCTCTCTCTCTCTCTCTCTCTCTCTCTTGCTCGTACTTATACACACAGACATTTTCTGAGAAAACTAAGTCTGTAATTGTACATGTATCGATAAAATTGCTTGGTTGACACACACTTTTATCTATGTGATGGTTCAAAGATTAGAGTCTAAGGCTAGGCCGATGCATCAATAGTTTTAGTTCAGTCTATATCACATAAAACATAACATTGCAATACTTGTCCATCTTTTGCAAGTAAGTTGTATATGCATTTCTCTTAGGCATGCAGCCTAATTTTTTCATGCTTGTAAGTCTCTTAATTACTACAAAGCTTACATCAACTCACTCTTTCTGTCTGTCTGGTAAAATGTTTGTAGGCCTACACTCTACACGTTATATCTCCCAAATCCAATCTCGAATCAAGCGGAAAATTTAAACAATTATTATTTATTTTACCAAAAAAAAACATTTTAAACTTTGCCTTAAAGTTTAAAACAAACAATAGATAGCTAAAAAAATCATCTATTTTTATAAGCTCTTCTCTGTTACAGTGGTTAATGTGTTGGCATGACAAGGCTAGAGCCATGAGTTTGACTCTAGGTCGTTCACCTTTTTATTTTTTGTTTATAAATGCATTTAAAGGCCAGTCATGGTAATAGTCACAAGACCCCCCCCCCCCTTCTATTTCTCCTATCCTATGGCTGCCTGGTCGTGGATCATAGCGTAGTGACTAGTCCAGACAAGTGATAGGATCATAGCGTAGTGACTAGTCCAGACAAGTGATAGGATCATAGCGTAGTGACTAGTCCAGACAAGTGATAGGATCATAACGTAGTGATTAGTCCAGACAAGTGATAGGATCATAGCGTAGTGACTAGTCCAGACAAGTGATAGGATCATAGCGTAGTGACTAGTCCAGACAAGTGATAGGATCACAGACAAGTGATAGGATCATAGCGTAGTGAATAGTCCAGACAAGTGATAGGATCATAGCGTAGTGACTAGTCCAGACAAGTGATAGAATCATAGCGTAGTGACTAGTCCAGACTAGTAATAGGATCACAGACAAGTGATAGGATCATAGCGTAGTGACTAGTCCAGACAAGTGATAGGATCATAGCGTAGTGACTAGTCCAGACAAGTGATAGGATCATAGCGTAGTGACTAGTCCAGACAAGTGATAGGATCATAGCGTAGTGACTTGTCCAAACAAGTGATAGGATCATAGCTTAGTTATTAGTCCAGACAAGTGATAGGATCATAGCGTATTTAGAAAGCTAAAATCATAAAATTGCGCTAAACAAAATAAAATAATTGTTTAGAATATTTCTAATCGCTCAGAATAGTTATAGTTAGTATAGATCTATTGTACATATGACTGATAGAAACTCATTGATACACGGAATATTTTACCTTTTTAGTTTATTTGTTTTGTTTATTTTGCTTGTTTGTTTTTGGTAGTCGGAGATACAGGTCTGCAACTGATTCAGAAAGATGTCAAAAATTTTAGATGTGTCAGCATTAACATGTTTAACAGTTACAATAAATTAATATAAATTAATGCATCACGCACAAAGTTTTTCATATGGTAAAGACGAACGCAAGTTATTGAAAGTTATTTCGTTTATGAAATTTTTTTTTATTTAGCCCATGTTATTTACCTTAATATATTTATTATAATTCAAGACACGGAAGCTGATCTCAAGCAATAAAGCTGTAATACAACAATTTGATAAAGTAAGATAAAAAATGAGAATGTTTGCAGTATAGTTTTACTTCAATGGTTAATGCAGGAACCAAATCTATAAAGCCGAAATAAAAAAAAAAGCACCCAAGCCTTGCCAACAAACATACCGAATATATCTGTGTTACGATGTATCATTGATGATGATTTTAAAGATAGTTCCTCTTTTGCAAACATTTTGTAACAACTACATCTTTGAATAAAAAATGGATTTATTTTAGGGAAACTATAAAATCTCTTGGAAAATATTAGCGGTGTCTGCTCAGATGATGCTTCTCGTATTCTAGTATGTTTGGATTTCAAAGTTCGATACAGAATGAGCTCCCAAAAGTCAATTAAACTCACTGAATGATTCATCAATAAATATTTGTAATGAAAATACTGCCACAAGAATTACATGAAGCAATGTAAGTATCAAAGGCAACGTGTCTCGATCTATCTGAAAGATCCGATTCTTTCAAATCAAACTTTAGCTTGGGAAAAATAAAATTGGACGAAAATGAACATTATCTTCTCAGCTTGAGCCTGACAAACGGATCAAATGATAATATCTGAGAAAGAACATTTGTGCTTGCTTGCGGTCAAAATGGATGACTGCTTCGTCGTGCGGTTTACGCGCTGGACTGTCGTTTGGATTTATCAAGGGTCCCGGGTTCAAACCATGCCCCTCCCATCTCCCGTCGTCCTGCGGGAGGTTTGGACTGGCTTTTGATAGTTTATCGGCCTTTTTATTTCCCAAAAAACCAATGGGCATCAAGAAACACAGTCATAGCTATGTACAAAGGAATGACCATGCCAGTATCAACTTCATCCCCCGCAAAGAGCAATTTACGATCTTTCAACTAAGAACAGGACACACGCCTCTGTTAAACTACCATCTTAACAAATTAAATGCCACACACCTAGATACTGCGCCCACCTTTATGAAATTGTAAACCACATCCTCTTTTAATGTCCCTTCCTAATCCACCTTAGGCAGACCCTACTGCCACTACACCCAAATTAACCAACACCCTGTACGGCAGTGCTGAGCAACTGAAGAGAACAGCACATTATTTTTCCTTGGCACAGTCTGCAAAAGAGCTCACAGGTCAACAGCAAGGGGCTGGGTAGAAGAAAAGGAGGACCTTTGGGAAATGGAATTTTTTCCGTGGCAAAGTAGAAAACATTGACTGCTTCTGGAGTTGTTCTCGAGACTTACACATGTGAAATAACTGTTCTTATTTAACATAAATGTTCTTTGAAACATTTTTAATGTTTGCTTTTTTTGCTTCCCTTATTTTCCGATGCATCTATAATAATAATGCATATTTTTCACTACTTTATATTTCTTTTTAATATTTCTTTAATAAGCTTATTTCATCTTCCTTAGTATTAGCGCTCTGGATTAAAACATAATGGCAACATGTAAGTTTTTTTGTTTGCTAGATGGAGAAATTTTATACCTGCATATACATTTATAAAATAATAAGTGTTAAGGAAAAAAACATTTCACAATAAAGTAAACGTTTGTATATATGTATGTATGTATGTAGGCTATGTATGTATGTATGTATGTATGTATGTATGTATGTATGTATGTATGTATGTAGGCTATGTATGTATGTATGTATGTATTTATGTATTTATGTAGGCTATGTATGTATGTATGTATGTATGTATGTATGTATGTATGTATGTATGTATGTATGTATGTTTGTAGGCTATGTATGTATGTATGTATGTATGTATGTATGTATGTATGTAGGCTATGTATGTATGTATGTCCCGAATAGAAATTAAAACCATTTGACCAATCTTGATAAAACGTGGCATAAATGTTCTTTGGGTACCAACTGGAACAGTAATCTATGGAAAGTAGAGCCCTATGCAAGCTTAAGACGATAAATAAAAAGTTGCTTAATTCTATGAAAGTATTACTATTTCATGGATCTAGATCATGTAGCCATGTTTACATCAGACAAGACCGAATGGATCTAGATCTAGTTTTAAGCACTACACTTTGCAAAGATAGTTTTTTTAGTTTGAGACATGAAAATATAAGACATAGTCCTTTAATTCTTTATTTAATAAAAATAACCTTCAAATTTGTGTTTCAAAAGCAGTTTTAGATAAATTTGTTTCTTATATCCGCGAATTTAGATGTACTTTATATCCCATTCATCGCGCGCTTCTGTCGCGCACACATAACATGCGCTATGTAAACACACTATGATTAAACAGGCTACATGAGACTCTATAAGGGGGATATTTAATATACTAACAATAATTAATAATTTTGATAGCTCCATTCATACTATTTTTACATTCACGCATTCGATTTACTTATATATAACATTATTATTATGTTTAATTGTTTCCAAAATACTCTCAGTGACTTTATCAGTGATACGCAAATTTAAGACCCGCAGGCCGTGGGTACTATATGGCTAGTAACTAATAGGCCTATATGTAAGTGATAGAAAAGAACATGTATGTATGTCTCGAATAAAAATCAAAAGCGTTCAACCAATCTTGATAAATCTTGGCATAAATGTTCCTTAGACCATGGTGGAGACCGTAAATTATGTTGCAATATCTCTACAACAACACGAGGGCCCAAAAAAAAAATTAAAATGCCCACATTTTTCTTTATTAAAGAATGTAACATTTTAACAAATTGTAAGCCCATTCTCACAGTGTATTCTATCTGGATAAACGGGTAAACCCATCTTTACACTATACTTTTATTTTTGTAACAAAATAAAAACAATGTAAAGGAAACATTTGATACTTGCCATGTTTGACAAAGATCTAAATCCAACCAATCAAGAAATATTAGTAATGCCCAAACTAAAGCCTGCAGGCTACGGGTCATTTATATACATATAGGCATGGTCTTCAAGACTAAAGATTACACTATAATGGCTGTATATTACGTGTTGGCGCAAACAAAGTGCAGACAAATATTTATTTCCTTAAGCTATTTATTTACTCATTTACAACATAACATAAAAATAACTGCTAACAATTTTTAGGATGCAACAATGATATATTTTTTTAGTAATTCTATTGATAGATAAAATTTATTAGGTGAAAAAAATTTTTTTTGTACAATTATTGCAGCCAAAAAAGAAATTACCGTGGTACTGCTTGGTAAAACCGGATATGGAAAAAGTTCTACAGGGAATACTTTGCTTGGAGCTTATCGATTTGAAGAAAGTAATAGCATGTCGTCCATCTCAAAAACTGTTGTAGATTACAGCAACGAAGATAAAGATTGCAGATGGCGTGTCTACGATACACGTGGCCTGATGGACGTCGAGAAAGAGACACAGTATGAAGACTTTCTTTCTATTTGTGAAGACATAACCAAACTAATGCAAATCTGCAAAGAGCATTCCAGTCATATCACAGTCTTTCTTCTAGTTTTTACTTTCATCAATAAATTTTCATGCGAGGACAAAAAATCTGTCGAATGGATAGAAACATTTCGGAAAAACATTTTTTGAAAATCATTGTATTATAGTGCTAACAAGAGAGGATTGTTTTGATGGAAACCTTGACAATTGGCTCCAAACACAAACAGGTGAATTCGCAAATTTGGTTAAAAGGTGCAAACAAAGAGTGGTGCCGGTATGTAATAAGGACAGTGATAAAAGACGGGAAGATTCTAGAAAAAAAACTAAGATCAAACATTATAGAGTTCAAACAGCCAACATGGCTTTGTTACACATTTGATGACTATATGGAACAATCCCAAGAGAGAAATCTTACTCTAGTGACACTTAAACTCCCAATACTTATTGCTAAGTATAAACAAGAAATATCAAGTGATAGAGAAACAAGATTAAAACTTAAACTTAGGGAAGAAGCGTTAAATTTACATACGAGAATCGGCGTTTTGATTGGAGATATTAAAAGGAAAGATAATAAGACTGGGTTATTAGATAAATACATTGAAGAATTAGAATTTGAGAAAGCAGCTATCCCCTTAAAAATTGTCGAATATTGTAGACCTAATTGATTAGCCATTAATATTGTATTATAATTACATTTCTTAATTTACTTTAATTTAGATATTATCAAATTATGATATTTTTACAATACCACTATTTAATTCACCTCTTCATGGAGGAACATGGGTGGGTAGGCGGGCGCTGATCTCTACAATAACTCTTGTGATTTTTCCTTGAAATTTAATAGCTGATGAATATCGCTGAGAAAAGAATTACTAGCTCGTTGGCTACATGGGGAAACTAAAGTTTGACCGTTATAATTTTTCAAAGTAATAAGTAAATAAATGTAAATTTTGCTTGACTAAACTTCGAATGTTAACGTGATAACAGATGAAGAAGGACACAATAAGAAATGGATTGAACATTTCCAGGATCTTCTTAACAGACCTACCCCTGCAAACCCACCAGAGATACCACCAGCTACATACAAGAGACCTACCTAACAAGTGCAGTGCACCCACCAAGGAAGAGATTTGCAGCGCAATCAAGCGAATGAAGAATGGCTAATCAGCAGGACCTGACAGCATCCTAGTTAAAGTACTAAAGGCAGTCATTGATACCGGTTTGAAGTTACTTTACCCTCTTTCTGCAGGATTTGGGAAAAAGTAAAAGTGCCACCAGAGTGGAAGGAGGACTACCTCATCAAACTCTCAAAGAAAGGCGATCTTAGTTCCAACTATCGAGGTATAACACTACTGTCCATTCCAGGCAAAGTGTTTAACCGCATTCTGCTAAACCGAATGAAAGTTGCTGTAGATGCACATCTTTGTGACTAAGAAGCCGGCTTTGGTAAGGAGAGATCATGCACAGATGAGATATAGCGACTCTAAGCATCATTTTGGACCAGTCCATGGGATGGAACTCCTCTCTCTACGTCCGTTCTATAGACTAGGAGGAAGGCTTTGGACAGCGCGGACAGACAGACACTCTGGAGACTTTCGAGACAAATGACAAATATCATCAAGAAGTCATATGAGGGGATGACTTGCAGAATAGTGCATGGCACTGATGGCAGACAACTGACAGAGGCATTTGAAGTCCAAAATATATATTTATATATGTCCTATACTCTTAAGCGAGCAATTCTTACATTTGTTGTTGTATGTACTTTTCTTGTATTTTAACGTTTATTATTAATTTATTAGTAGTTACAAGTTAGGTGATCCATCACTGAATACCTGCAACTGTTTTTTTTTTTTTGTTTTTTTTTTACAAAAATGCACTGTATGTATGTATGTATATTTGTATATATACTTATATATATCATATACTCTTAAGCGAGCATTTCTTGGCTCGTAGAACTTCGCCGGATGGAAGACAATTGCATCCTGAAATTCATTCAACTTGCGTCTGGCTCAAGAAAAACTAGTCGGCCCCACCTCCGTTACGTTGTGATAAAACGGGATTTATAATCAATGAACATTGACACTGACCATTGGGAAGACATAGCCTTAGACTGCACTAGTCGGAGAGAGACGGTGACCAAGAAAGCTATGGACAGCGAGAAAACATGGGCCTCAGCTCTTGAAGAAAAGAGTGAAACACGGAAAATGGCCAGCTCCTCTACCACCAAAATAGCGCATTTTTTCCTAAGAGACATAAAAAATTGCGTTTGTATTCTAAAGAAGTGTTTCCATGGAGCATCTCTATTACGCCGACCACCTTTCAGCTTACTAAAAAAGATTGCCTTTGGCATACGTTAGTCCACCTTACGAGAAACTTGTCCTGCCAAGCGTAACTGTTGGATTATAAGACCCTCCATAATGTCCATACCGGCATTCGCAACGAATTCTCTATTTGTAGTGCAGTCTTGACACATTGTGTTCTTGATGGAGTGCTAAAATCTTTGTTGAAAGCGTTCAAGAAATCTTAGTTATTCTGTACAGTACCCATGTCTTAGGTGTATATAGAAGGATTGAGAGAACAACTGCTTGGTAGAAACTGACTTTGTACTAGGCAGGCAGAGCGATTTATTTTGGCATACACTCGTTTGGAGGCGTCCAAAAGCTCCACTGGCTCTGATCAGACGGTGATAAACCTCCCTTAAAAGCATTGCGTCATTTGAAACTATGCTTCCCTGATCTGTGAAGTAGTCTACCACGTTAGAAAGGGGGAGGATCTCCATTCACGGTAATTTTCGGAGCTGAGTAGATTTTATTGGGGGACTTCTGGAACATGACTTTCGTTTTTCCAAGGTTTATAGTAAAACCAAAAGAGGCGGCAGCGTATGTAAAATTCGTTGACCATAGTACTCGGTGAATACTATAAGAATAAAAGTTACACTATAAAAAGGATATTCACTGTGAGACTACCACAATGCAGTTTATAAATATTCATCGTTTTTATTTTGTCCATTAATTATGCACAGACTCTTTCAAATAATTATGTACATGGATTTATTATGTAACTAAGGAAGAAAATATTAATTAAATTTGCAGATGTGTGATTATATTATTGTGTTTTGCGAGTTTTATTAATTGTTTACACTTTAATTAGGGAGACCCGTGTAGGTAGCTTTTACATTGTTGACAGGGCTACTAGAGCCTACAATAAGATGATGCGCAAATGTTTAATTAGGTCTATTAATTAATTAAAACTTGTTCATGTTTGCAAAGAAATGTAGTGTAAAAAAAAACAACTTTAAGTCGGAACTAGCGAATCTTACCCTTGTGGAGTATCACCAGATAATGCTGACTATGTCCTCCAAAGCTGCATCAAGAGTCCCTCCTATTGAAAAAAAACTATACGGAGAACTGCCTGATCTGAAAACCACTGCGCGGTTTATCTCAGATCTAGCCTTTATATAAGATCACTAATCTGAACCCTCTGACATAACATATAAGAACGAAAAAGAAGAAATATATTTTAATGGCATATATGTTTTTTTTTTCATTTTGTCACCACCTAAAGTTGGTGCCATAATGTAGATACCCTATTTTGATATTATGAGTGTAATTTATAATTCA